TTTTCTAAAGGAAATCTTGGCCTGAGAGATATTAAGGCAATAATTAAATTTGGTTGTTTATCTCTTTGTTGAAAGTTATTAACTATGAATAATCAATGGTCTTTTAGGCTTAATAGTAGATACTCCAGACACAAAAGCCAATCATCCATCATATTTCATCTTCAATATGGTCTAACATTGAGCATTCTTTTCTTTTCTAGAGGAGCATAGTAAATGGCAGGTCGGTAATGAGAAGAAGATTGATTTATGGACGGATAATTGGTTGAGATATAAAATTAATATTTACACCTAGTATTGATAGAGGATATTCAATTTATGCAAATGATTAAGGTTAATTCAATAATCCAAGATATCAATTGAGACATTTCTCATGGCTTATTATTCGATTTGCAATATAGCGGAAATAAGCAAAAGATTTGGAAGAATTCCCTTTAGATTTTTACCGTCTCCATAGGGATCGGTGCGACGGAAAGAATGCCATTCAACGTTTTCTATGTTCCTAAGCTTGGTTTGAATGGTTTAAAAGAGTAAAAGATATTAACAATTAAATAAAGTACGGGAAATAATTCTTCAGGAATTGTATTTCATTTTACCCGTCAAGCACTAAAAAATCTATCAATTAGTTATATGCAACCTAAAACACTCATTAATATCATCACGTATCACTCACATCAACGTTCATGTCTGAAGCACCGACGAGATTTCTACCATATTGTCTTATCAGTGATGTCTCATGCAACTACACAACACGGAACATTAAGAATCAATGTATATGTCTATAGCAATCCAAACCCATTAAGATAAATATTGAAATCAAAGATAACATCGATAAAGATTTATAAAATATATTTTATACCACGATTAATAAATATATATACAATCAAGATAAACTTACATACAACACTACAACAAATATAAAATACAAAGATAATAGCGAAACTAAACCGGTGATTCTCGAGGTGTCAAGACGATTTTCAAAAATCCAGCTCCGAATTGTCAAGAAGCAGCTTCTATCGTTGTTTCTGCGTTATTTCCACAAAGAATGTTGGTGATGGAGTTGGGAGGAAAAAAACCCCAAAACCATTCCCTAAAATTATGAATAAATGGTATTTTTACAAACTGAAAAATCGCAGGCCCGCTAAGCGCACTCAGATCGCGCTAGGCGCAATTTCACTTAAAGTACCATCAAATCACCTTATACCGCGCTAAGTGCAGTCTAGAAAACAAATATGGTTGCTTCTGCCCATCAATCCTCTAGCGCGCTACAAGTATTGCTAAGCACGAATGACAGTATTTTATTGCAAAATTCTGCATCTTTCAAGCATCCTTCGTGGCTCAAATGGATCCACAGTTCAATCATAAATTATTACCTACAAAAACAGATGAAATAGTATGTAAATTACACAAAATATACACAAAAACTTAGAATTATTAATGGAAAACAAATAAATGAAGTCGTCGAGTGCTAATTATTCACACTCAAATTAACAACAATTTAGCACTCAACGCTTATCCATTTTGCCTCCTCAAATTGTTGAAGACATTTTACAGATTAACTTGTCATTTTATAATACCACTATTGATGAACTCATTTGGACATGGTCTTTAAATGGTGATATATCTTTTAAATATGCCTACAAGTGTATCAGGATGAATCACATTGAGTATTTTTGGGAAAAGTTTATTTGCCATCTCTACATACCTCATGCTAAGTGACTTGGAATTTAGTGCATAATATTATTGCAGCAGAAGAATATCCAATTCGAAGGAGAATGCACATGGTTTTCTATTTGCAATCATTATGTGGAAACTGTAGACCACTTATTTTTTTAGATGTAGGTATACCTTAGACCATATCCAACGGTGGTTCTTCAAATTGGTTTGCCAATTTGGCATTGAAATTGTCAACAAAAAGTTGTTCCAGCTGGTGAACGTTCCTTGCATAAGCAACGGTTCTTCATTTTTTTTATTATTAAAATAATTATTTAACTTGTTGGTTTTATTTTTTTTTTAACTTTTTTTATTTATTATAAATATAAGTTTGTTGCAAAAATTTATAACAATCCTATTTTCTCTCACTTTTATTTACTCTTTAATTTTAAATTTCTCTCTCACAATTTCATCATTTTATTCATAAATTATTATTTTCAATTTTATGTTTAATTTTAATTTTATGTTTAGTTTATATTTATAGTAATTAAAATTTAAATATTTAAATTATAATTTTAAATAAAATAAATTTAGTATAAATAATATATTTAAGTAAAGTAGTGGGACCCAATATGGGTTCTTTGAAGTTGCACCATTGGAGTGAAAATTGAATAAGTTATTTTAGAAGAGTGGGTCCCACAAAGAACCTAAAAATAGGTTGCACCATTGGAGGTGCTCTTACATTTTTGACATTAGATGAAGCAATTTTTTGGCATTAGCATTGATAGAACTAGTTATGAAAGCTTATTCAAATTTGCTGATAGAAGTTGGAGCTGTCAAATTTAGAATTTGATCATGACTCTCATCATGATTTTTTTTTTTTTTTGAAAAAATTGGCACACAAAAAATGATATCAAATTTCAAAATGCTAAAATTGACTTTGATAGAGACATTATCCATGTTAAATATTTGGTCTATATGTCATCTATTTCTTTTAAGAAACACGTCCAAGAGCTAGCACCAAGATGTATGTTTTTTTGCCGATGATATAGTCCTACTTGAAGAATCAAAAGAAATATTTAAATGAGAGCTTGAGGACTTGAAGACAATCTTTAGAAATACATGACTTTCACCAAAGCACAAGTAAGATGAGATATGTGAAATGTAAATTCAACAATAGGAGAAGTGTTTCTAACTTAAAGGTGAAAGTTGAAGATCATATCATCCCACCTGCCACGCAATTTAAATATATTGATCTTGTAATACAAAATGACGGAGAAATAGAACGAGATGTAAACCATCGAATTTGAGCGGATGACTGAAATGGAGGAGTGCTTCAGTGGTTTTATCCCACAAGCCACACAATTTAAATATCATGGGTCAGACCTGCGATATTGTATGATACCTAATGTTTGGCGGTTAATAATTAACACGAGATTAAAGTAAATGTAACAGAGATGAGAATGTTGTATTGGATGTGTGGTAAGAATAGACATGATAGTATTAGAAATGATAATATTAAAGAGAGTGTTGTAGTAGCACCTACAATAGAAAAGATAGTAGAAAATGGATTTAGGTGATTTGAACATGTAGAGAAGACATGTACATTCAATAATGATGATTGTAGATTAGGTAAAGATGAGTCAAACAACTAGATGTAAAGGAATACTTTATAAAAACTATAAGAGAATTTTTTTTTTTTTAAATCTTGAAATTAATATTTTGGATAGAAAAATAATCTTGGATATAACATTATTCAAAATTGATCCATGTAACCTACTTTTCTCTCCGCAAATAATTGTTTGATAGGCCAATGTAACATAGTGTCGAAAACATATCCCAAATGGTATACGAAATCGGATCATATTGGATCAACCACCGCAGCAAGTGGTGTTCACCCAAATGAAGACAAACTGAGCCACGCTGAGTAGTGCTATAGTGTCACAAGTGGACACTGACACATTGTCCCATGTAGCTTGCTTATGCTTCAATCCTGGGGAACTAATCAAACCTATAAAGCTACTACTCAAAGCTAACTAGATAAGCCACTTTGTCTTCATGCATTTTGGCTTCTATATGCATATCAAGAATCTCAATAATTAACTGTTTTATTAGGGTGACGCAACATATTTGATTGTGTGATTAATATATACCAAACCTCACATGGTTTTGACTTCATTTTTCAACACTAGAATTCACTAAAACTAATGTGGTTGGTTTCTCTTCCATGTTTTCTTCTCATAGAAAAATAAATGTCTTAACTTAATCCTCTAATCTAGTTTGATAGTAAAATATATTAGAGAGATGCTACACATATGCAAGATGACAAAGGACACACCTAACACTGTCCTATTCTTCATAGATAAACTCAAAGAAAAAATGTAAAACGTAAAAACTATAGAGAACCTAAACGTGTGAAAGTTGTATGCTCTTTCATTTTTCCAAACTATCATTATGATAACTCACTCCCACTTTCTCATATATCATCATGCATACTTGAACTCTAACGGCTCTTGCTTTCTTATTGTGGTAACTTCAAGGATAGCCAGAAGATAGTGATGTCACCATGTGGACCGTCCACGTATCTCATACGTAGATTTAAATCGTCTGTCGTCCAATCATAATCGAATTGTCTAAATTTTAGTATAAATATTTTTAAAATCTAAAACGTCAAGTTTAAAATCTAGACATTCAATTTTGATCAAACGATCTATCTCACACAAGCTTGATCTCTGATATATGTTTGAATATTCGAGAATAAATTTTAGTATTTAGATATTTTATTAATCATGTGTTTGTACCAATTTAGTTGAAAAAAACTTAAGTTAAAATGACAGGTACTCTTGTAAAGTCAAATCACACTTAAAACTTTTATTTTTGTTGGTAATCTTAACAATTCTTAAAAGCTATACTATGAATTTGTACATAGACAATGTGAACAAAAGTTAAAGTTAACAAAAGTAGCCCACTTGTGCCATCATTTTTCTCATGCACAAACATTTGTCTTTCTTCTTTGAGCACAACCTACCATGTTCTCTACCACAAAAGCTATTAAAGAGTTCTAAATCATTCCACTTCTTACCTAAACAAGTAAGAGTGTAAAAGCCTCAACTATATTGGCAAGACTAAAAAGGTAGTAGAAACTATAAAGGTATATATTTTTAAGATAAACTATAGGTTAAAGTTTATCATTATTTCACCATGTACATATTCCATTATATATCCTAACCATTGTCAACTTTATTTATTAGAAAATAAAGTAGGCAAGGTTGCTCCAATAGAACTATATAAATCCTAATAGAACTTTAACCTGTGTCATTGTCTTCCTTTATTTCCTATTCTTCATCATAATGAAACACATATTTTCCTATTGTTTGTGCCATTTTCTTCTGTTATTAGTTACTTCTTTTGTTGTAACACTATGTGATGATGCTGATGTAACAGAAACTAACCTGCTTCTCAGGATAAAATCCGAGCTGGTGGATCCATTAGGAGCCATGAACAACTGGTCTCCGACAACTCATGTCTGCCACTGGAATGGAATAACATGCGATGATGTTGATCGGAAACATGTTGTAGGCCTGAATCTTTCTGGTTCAGGAATATCAGGTTCCATTTCAGTTGAGTTAAGCCGTTTCGTTTCACTTCAAACACTTGATTTGTCTTCGAATTATCTTAACGGTTCCATTCCTTCAGAGCTAGGTAGCCTTCAAAGTCTAGTAGAACTTCAACTATACTCAAATTACCTCTCTGGTAACATTCCTAAAGAGATTGGTAATTTGAAGAAGTTGCAAGTTCTTAGAATAGGGGATAACATGTTGACAGGTGGAATTCCTCTTAGCGTTGCGAACTTGAGTGAGTTGAATGTGTTAGGCTTAGGTTACTGTCACTTGAACGGAACCATACCGATTGGAATCGGTAAATTGAAAAATCTAACATCACTTGATTTACAGATGAATAGTCTTGGTGGCCTTATACCTGAAGAGATACAAAACTGCGAAAAGCTTCAAAATTTTGCAGCTTCAAACAACATGTTTGAAGGAAACATTCCTTCCTCTATAGGGTCACTTAGATCATTGAAAATTCTTAATCTTGCCAATAACACTCTTTCTGGACTGATTCCTATATCGTTGAGTTATCTTTCTAACTTGACGTACCTGAATTTGCTTGGAAACAAACTAAACGGTGAAATTCCGTATGAGCTTAATAGTTTGATTCAATTGCAGAAGCTAGACTTGTCTAGAAACAACTTTTCTGGATCAATGCCTCTCCTTAATAGCAAACTGCAGAATCTTGAAACTTTAGTTCTTTCTGATAATTCTTTGACAGGTAGCATCCCGAGTAGTTTCTGTTTCAAAAGTTCAAAGCTTCAGCAACTTTTCTTGGATCGAAATATTCTCTCGGGAAAGTTTCCTTCGGAGTTACTCAACTGTTCCTCAATACAACAGTTGGATCTCTCTGGTAATAGCTTCGAAGGTGAAATTCCATCGAGCATAGACGAATTGCAGAATCTCACTGATCTTGTACTTAACAACAACACCTTTGCTGGATCACTGCCTCGTGAAATCGGAAATATCAGTACTTTGGAAGGTCTTTTCCTATTTGGTAACTTTTTCACAGGTGAAATTCCAGTGGAGATCGGAAAGCTGAAAAGTTTGAACACGATTTACCTTTACGATAACCGAATGTCAGGACTCATACCGAGAGAGTTAACAAACTGCACAAGCTTAAGAGAAATCGATTTCTTTGGAAACCGTTTTACAGGCTCCATTCCAGAGACTATAGGGAAGTTGAAGAACTTGGTTCTTCTTCATCTGAGGCAAAATGTGTTTTCTGGTCCAATCCCTCCAAGTTTAGGATACTGCAAAAGTCTTCAGATACTGGCCTTAGCAGATAACAAACTTTCAGGTTCAATTCCACACACATTCAGTTACCTTTCAGAACTTTATAAGATTACCCTTTACAACAACTCTTTTGAAGGACCTATCCCGAATTCACTTTCGTCTCTCAAAAACCTCAAAATCATAAATTTTTCACACAATAAGTTCAGTGGAAGTTTCTCTCCTCTCACTGCTTCAAATTCTCTTACTCTTCTTGACTTGACTAACAACAGTTTCTCAGGTCTTATCCCTTTTAGTCTAGCCGATTCAAGAAACCTCCGCCGTCTCCGCCTCGCATACAATAATCTCACAGGAACTATTCCTTCTGAATTTGGCCAGCTTAATGATCTCAACTTTTTTGATTTATCATATAACAATCTAACAGGAGAAGTTCCGGCACAGCTCTCAAATTCGCGGAAAATAGAACATATTTTGCTGAGTAACAACAGATTGAACGGCGAAATACCTAACTGGTTGGGAGAATTCCAAGAACTTGGTGAACTAGATCTCTCATGCAATAACTTCAGTGGCAAGGTACCTTCTGAAATCGGTAACTGTTCAAATTTACTCAAACTTTGTCTCCATCACAACAATTTATCTGGTGAAATTCCTCAAGAGATTGGAAACCTCACTTCTCTTAACGTCTTCAACATTCAAAGCAATAGTCTCACCGGCGTCATTCCTTCGACAATTCAGAAATGCAAGAAGCTCTATGAGCTAAGGCTCTCACAAAACTTTCTGACAGGTAAAATACCATTTGAGCTAGGCGAGCTTGACGAGTTACAAGTGATATTGGATTTGAGTAAGAATCTCTTCTCTGGTGAGATTCCTTCATCTCTAGGAAACCTAATGAAGCTAGAAAGACTCAACCTATCTTTCAATCAACTTCAAGGAAAAGTTCCTACTTCACTTGGCAAACTCACTAGTCTGCATGTGTTGAATCTCTCATACAACCATCTTGAAGGCCAGATTCCGTCAACTTTTTCAGGCTTTCCAAGAAGCTCTTTCACGAACAACAGCCGGTTATGCGGTTTGCCGTTAGTATCTTGCTCAGGATCAACATCAGAGAGGAAAATGCAGCTATCAAACACACAAGTGGCAATTATAATTGTAGCTATTGTGTTTACTTCAACTGTGATATGTTTGGTTATGTTGTATATAATGCTTAGAATTTGGTGCAACTGGAGAAAAGTTGCAATATCAAATGAAGATGGAGGTGGTGTTGGTCAGAAGAAAGAGGAAAGGGCTTGTAATGATCATAAGGCAAGGAATGGAGAGTATTGGAATATGAACTCATTTGGATTCATTCCTTCACCAGATAAGAGTAATTCAGTTACAACAACTTGTTTCTTTAATATCAAAATGGAAGCCATGGAAAATGCAAATATATAAAATCTTTTTTTTTTCTTCTTAAGTTTGGGTCTATAGCTTTGAAGGTACAATTACAGTACTGGCACATCATTCAATGCTGGTTTTTTGTGTTGATAATCATCCAATGATGACTTAAATTAATATAAAGAGTTGTTAATTCAAAAGTATCATACATTGTTAACATTAATAAATCAAAATAAACATATATTGTTACATACATTGTTAGAAGTAAATTTGTTGATATTTTAGATTAGGTTAGTTCCTATTCATTATGTATGTATTATGTGGTTAGCCAATTTCTAAATTTTCCATGTGATGACCAGTGGAACACCGCGATTCACATTCTTAAGGATAACAAAGGGTAACACTCAAGTTGTGAGTTATTTTGATGCTTCTTGGTCTGATTCACCAACAGATAGAAGGTGCACTTTAGGATATTTTATTCTCATTAGAGGAAATTGATTTTATATTGGAACAAGAAACAAGACATAGTTGTAAGATCTAGGGCAGAATATCATGTTATGTAAACCACAACTTGTGAACTCGTGTGACTAAAAAAATTACTTGAATAACTCAAATTAGGAGATGTCACGGTAATGAAAATAATATGTGATAACCGAGTTTCACTACATATCGCCTTTAACCGATTTTTCATGAAAGAACTAAGCATGTTGAGATCGCTTGTCACTTTGTAAGAGATAAAATTCTTTCGAGAGAAATCGTTATTGATTTTGTTGGTGCAAATGATTAATCGACTAATATTTACTAAATTTCTTAGAGGACCTAATGTATAATGTATTTGTAACAAACTTGGTGAATATGACATGTATGCTCCAACTTAAGAAGAAGTGATATAATTAAGTAAACTCGTACATATTTTATATTGATGGTTAATATTAGTATCTAGATTGATTGTTAATAATAGTAGAATATACAACTTCCAAGGTACGATCTTATTAATTAGGAATTTGATGTATTTATTATAACACTATTATAAATACATGTATAAGTATGTCTTAAAATCTTATGTGATAAAGAGAATGAAATTGTATTTTGAGACTGTCATAAATTAAAGTTACAGAAAGACAACAAGTAGAAAAAAGGTTGACGGAAGACATTGTAAACAAAGTGACGACGCTAGTGATCACTGGCGATGAAGGCGTTCGACCGGAGTTCGGTTGGTGCAGTGTAAAACAGAGGGAGGCGGGCGTCAGATTGTGTTCGGGCAGTGGGTGGTCATTCGGCATTGGGTTTGATTCATGTGGTTTGTGGGTATCGTCCTTGGTCATTTCTCTTCCCGAATCCATTTGTTGATGGGTCGTGTTTTGGGCATGTTATGAATATGTTGGGTATCATCATTTATGAATTTTTAGTGTAAAAGACGGATGGAGGAGGTGACAATTTTAGGATAAACTTAGAGAGGTGAAGGTAGAAACTTCTATAGTTATGTTTTTTTTTAATTTGGAAAACATGTGGTATCTAACGAGATTGGAAAACACTTCTAAATATTTTGTGTTTCTGTTATTTATATAAAGAGAGTGTGAGAGATTGAGAATCACTTAGACAAAAAATAGAGTTTGTTTTTGGAAACTTGGGTGACTATTTGTTGTAACTCCTTTGTGATCTCTTATGATAATTATTGAAAGTATTGTGAATCAAAGAGATGATCTCTCTCCCATGGTAGAATAGTTTGGTAAAACATCGTAAATAAGTTTCTTTATGTTTTAGTATTTAATTCATATCTTACTTGTTGTAGATTTGCTTACATTGTTTGACAGGTTGTTTTGTTTCTTGATGTCATTTACTTTGCTTCCCATTAATCTTTGTCACACATACTAAATTTCACGATGTGTTTCAATCTATCAACAATTTACTATAATTGTTCACGACAAGTGGCAGACATTATGGAGAAAAGAAAATTTGTTTACACGTGAGCACCATGGATAATAATGGGATATGGAGAAGTTTTCATAGACAAATATTTTGAACTGTGGAAAGTGAAGATACAAGAAAGTGTAACACAATGAAAACGTTTTGAAACATTGAAGGGTGATGCATTGATGTGTGCACACCTAACATAAGAAGAGAAAACTGAGATGGTGGATAAAGTCAAAAGTGTTATTATATTGTGTTTCAAAGATAAATTTCTAAGGGAAGTCACTAGGGAGAAGACTATGTCTTCGATTTGGAAAAAGCTTGAATAGTTGTATATGACCAAGTCTTTAACTCATAGGTTGTGTTTGAAACAACAACTCTATTCATTTTAAGTAGAGAAAAAATCTATGGTAGATGGTTGGTAGAATTTCACAAGATCATTGATGATTTAGAAAATATTGAGTTGAAAATTGATAATGAGGGTAAGACTTTAATCTTGTTAAGCTCATTACCCTGATCCTTTGTGCACTTCAAAGATGCCCTTCTTTATTGTAAGTGCTCTTGATTGGCTGCATTTTGTGGCAAAATATAAGTACATATATGAATGTCATGCTTGAAGTTATTACATTCATAATATGGACTGTGCAGGGTAAGTTAACTAAGCTAACTATAAGTTAAGCTGGATGTCATACTCAATGTTATGACATAGGTCGTATGACATCAAGCGGAAGTTTGTTTTTCTGGTAGCTATAACTCATGAAACAACTCAGAAGCTCATGCTGGAATGCAGGAGACATTTTAGACGCCCTAGGGGAACTAAAATGTATCTGATTAAAGAGGCGAGCGTGCAGATTACATAAGTGAGGTTTTATGATGGATAAAACCTAATGAATGCGCCCAGGCCCAAGAACTGATGTGCTGCTACAAATACCAGGAGAGGCAATCCTAGAAGGCAGCTGTTGAAGATAGAGAAGCAGAGAAATCACCATAGTGGTTTAGAAGTGAAGAGGTTGTTCTTCACGTTTGAGTCTTAGGAATACGTGTAACCCAAGCAACTGTTGAGTGCGTTGGGTAGGTAGTTTCTAGACTGTGTTACACTCGAAGTTGTTAAGCAAGAGTGTGTGTTCCTTGATCAAAGCTTTGAAGCAAAGATCAAGGTGTGTGTGTGTGTGTGTGTGTGTGTGTGTGTGTGTGTAGGTGAAGTGTCTCTTCTATCTACAATTTAAATTGTAACTTGTAGTTATCACTGTTGTGTGATTGTAGGGAGTGAGTGAGTATACTCAGGTCTAGAGTGTCTCTAGGTAAAATTGTCATTGGGTAGTGATTAAGTGAAGAGTGCAAACTGGAGGTTTGACTCTAAATTGATACTGCTGATAGTGAAATTTTTCCCTGGCTTGGTAGCCCCCAGATGTAAGTGTGTTGCACTCAACTGGGTCAACAACTAACTGTGTTATTTACTGCCTTGTTATTACTGCATAATAGTAGATCTGTAGTAAATGTCACAGTGGATGGTATAACCTCTGTTAGAACATCCATCGTGGGCAGGCCAGAATTTTCAATTGGCATCAGAGCAGGCACCCTGCCTGTTTATTATTGGGTGAGATCTAGGGAAACAAAATTTTGGTAATATGGATAAAGATATTGGTTTCACCAATAGACCTCCAATTCTGGATGGTTCTAATTATGACTATTGGAAGCCTAGGATGATTGCCTTCCTAAGGTCCTTAGACATCAAGGCTTGGAGAGCTGCAAACTCTGGCTGGGAACATCCTGTGAAGACTGACAAGGATGGAGTATCTATGCAAATTCCTGAAGAGGAATGGACCAAAGAGCAAGAGGCATTGACTCTTGGAAACTCTAAAGCTTTGAATGCACTCTTCAATGGTATAGACAAAAACATCTTTAGACTGGTCCACCACTGTGAACTAGCAAAGGATGTTTGGGATGCTCTCAGAACCACTCATGAAGGAACTTCCAAGGTTAAAATGTTAAGACTTCAAATGTTGACCACAAAATTTGAAAGTCTAAGAATGAAGGAAGATGAGACCATTCATGACTTCTACATGAATGTTCTTGAACTAGCCAACACCTCAGGAGCTTTGGGAGAAAAGATGGCTGAAGAAAAGCTTGTACGGAAGATATTAAGGTCACTACCTAAAAGATTTACAATGAAGGTAATAGCCATTGAAGAAGCTCAAGACATATGCCTAATGAAAGTGGGTGAACTCATTGGATCTCTTCAAACTTTTGAGATGGGGATGTGTGATCAGGCTGTGGAGAAAAAGAGCAAGAGTATAGCTCTTGTCTCAAACACTGCTGAGACTTCAGAGCATGAAAGGGAGGAAGATCTATCAGAGGCAATAGCCATGCTTGGAAAACAGTTCAACAAACTGGCCAAAAGGATAAATACTAAGTCTAAGCCCTATTTCAAAATGGTGTCTGCTGACAAAGAAAAAACTGAAGATAAAGCCAACCAAAGCAGAGGAGTATAGTGCCATGAGTGTGAGGGATATGGACATGTTAGGAAAGAATGTCCCACATACCTCAAAAAGAAGAGAAAAGGTCTAACAGTCACTTGGTCTGATGAAGATTCTGACAGTGGATCAGAAGGGGAATCATCCAAACATGTAACTGTTCTCAACAGTGTGTGTGTATCTGATGGAGACTCAAGTGAAGAGGAGCTAACTTATGATGAACTAGATGAATCATATAAGAAGTTATCCATCCAAAGCACAGAATTGTACCAGCAAGAAGAGCATCTGAAGAAGCTCATCAAAGAGCTAGAAGCTGAAAAGAGAAAGCATCTAGATACTATAAACTCACTCCAAGGAGAGGTAAAGGAGTTGAAAGGAGAAAAGGAGCAAATAACAAAATCCATAAGGATGCTCAACTCTGGATCTGACATGCTAGAGGAGATTCTTCAGAGTGGTCAGACTGTAGGAAATAGGTCTGGTCTAGGATTTGTTGAAAAACAAAACCCTGCCTTGAAACTCAAGAGGTTGCAGCCTAACATCCAAAAGTTACAAAGGATGTCACAGCCAAAGTTACAACATCCTCCCCACAGAAATTAGAATCAAGTCAAGAGACAATTCCAAAGGCATAGATGCTACCACTATGGAAAGTTTGGACTCATTCGTGTTGTGTGC